CTGACACTTGTTTTGTAGTGTGACAGTATGATGCCTCGCATGACTCATTCATCGCTGTAAATCCTGTTACATCCCCTGAAGTTTTAGATCTGAGGGAGTTCAGAGAATGTGGCATCCTGGAGGTCATGTAAGATTAAACAGGAGAGCAGCATCTGCTGCAGAAATCCTGAGTGACGAGTCAGCAGTTGACTTCATTTCTGTTCTTGAACAGGGTCCAAGAACAAGATGCTCTAATGAGATTTAAAGCAACTGTTTGTTGTTTTTTTGGATGGTGGTTTGGGTGATTTGCCTCCTTTAATTTGTCAATTATGTTTCATGTGCTGCCCAGTGATTGATTTTTACTTGTGAAGTTTTTTTTAGGTCTGAATAAAACACAGAAACCCCCCAATATGCGGTGCAGATCCCATATTTGTCTTTCAAAATCTCTTCATCTGTAATTTATCAGTTTCATAACAAATTTTACAGCATTGTTTTGCACCTGCACAAGCTAACGACTCCACTCTGTCTTCTGCTTCTCTTTGTCATGCAGGATCTGTACCACCAGTCCTACGACCTGGTGTGTGTCATGTTTGCCTCTATCCCAGACTTTAAAGAGTTCTACACTGAGTCTGATGTCAACAAAGAAGGATTAGAGTGCCTCAGGCTCCTCAACGAAATCATTGCTGACTTTGATGAGGTAAATACCCAGATCACCACAAAAACAGACAGAAACCGTGATACCATTGCACTGCTTGACTCAGTGAAGAGCATTGCTTTTTACAGATTCATACAATTAGGTTTTATTGTCTGTGCTGCTATAAATTTGGGTTTTATTCAGTTGAGCTGTGTTTGTATTTCCATGTGTAGTTGCTTTCCAAACCGAAGTTCAGCGGTGTGGAAAAGATCAAGACCATTGGCAGCACTTATATGGCTGCTACTGGGCTGAACACATCGCCAGGGCCTGAATACACATCACAGGTAGGCCCATTACAAAGACATCATCATTTTTGTGTGACTGCCGTATGCACATTATGCAAGAACCTAATGTGTTTCTAGTTGTGCTTTTTTATGTTTCCCAGGAACATGACAGGCAGTATATGCACATAGGGACCATGGTAGAGTTTGCATTTGCCTTGATGGGAAAACTGGATCTTATCAACAAACACTCGTTCAATGACTTCAAACTCAGAGTTGGTGAGTTATGCAGAGAAGCTGAAATTAAATACAAAGTAATGTATATAATATTTTATATATACAGGACTACACTGTAATCGTTCACATATTTAAGTGTACTGACCTCACATGAGAATTGAAAATGAGTGGTTTAAACTGATTAATTAAATTCCACAGCTCGTTTCAGGTAAATGACATGATGTAACAAGATACTATCACTGCAGTGGGAGTTTCATTCCTTGTTGCCGCCTTCTCGTTATGATATTTTCTGGAATCCCACTTCTAGAGTTTTGTATGAAAAGCAGGAATCAGCTTGACTGCAATACATCCAAAATTGCACTGTCATGGAGCCTCTATGCATCCCTTGTTTGTGTAGAGTTCCTGTAAGATGTAGAGTGCACAGATGTCTGAAAAAAACAAGACTAACGCTTATTTATGCAGTAAGACTAAAATAAGAGGTAGAACAGCAGGAAGGCATACTCCAGCTCCCTCTGTGCAATAAGAGTCAGAGTTCGATACCTTCAACCTGTGTCTTAAGATCTCAGCATGGGATGCACCATTAACTCAGCAGTGTGCGTGAGTGACTGTACATCCCTGCTGCTTCCAGATGGGGCTGAAAATGCTCCATGAGAGAGCCGTACACACCCTCACCCACTGGGACTGGACCGAACCAGTAGCTGTGAGACTGTATGCGCCTCCTGCACACTTGAGCAGATTGCAATTTCCAACAATCTGGAGACTGAGTCAGAAGCTCAGTCAAAGAGAGGCCCAGTGTCATCTCAGTGCTGCGAACAGCCTCCAGACTGCTGGGGATTAAGAGTTGAGCTGCATTTAGCTCGCCCTCTGTTTCATGTTCTGATGAAATCTTGTGAAAAGCTTTGTTCGTTCTCAAAGCAGTAGGGTTCCTGCTCAAGTCGGCTTTGAGCAGCACTCAATAGTTAATCAGTGGCATCAACATTTGATTTTGATACATTTTCAACAAGTAGGAAATCTAAAAAAGCAGTTTATATTTGTAACTATAAAATAATAAGGTAATTCTAAATGAATGGCAGCAATAGGGACACTGTCTGAAAGGTTTACTAAAATGTTTCCTTTGTCAGGTATTAACCATGGTCCAGTGATAGCTGGAGTCATTGGGGCCCAGAAACCCCAGTATGATATCTGGGGAAACACTGTGAATGTAGCCAGCAGAATGGACAGCACCGGAGTCCTGGGGAAAATACAGGTAAATGATTTGGGGAACGTTTGAGTTTAATGGTAAATGGCCTGCATTTCTATAGCGCTTTTCTAGTCCATAGGACCCCAAAGCGCTTTACACTACATTCAGTCATCCACCCATTCACACACACATTCACACACTAAATTAAAGACATAAATAAAATTAAAAAAAAACCACTTACCCTGCCTATTCACTGCAATACTAAATGTTAAGACAGCTGTCAAACATCAGCTGGTATTTTATTCTGATAGTTTCTTTCAAAGGACCAGCAGACCTCCTTCTTCATACTGCAGACATTTAAATGGCAATACGGATGCTTAAAAAGATAAAACTCTTCTTTCTTATGTGCCATTTATTACAGCAAGGACATCTCATCTTGACATCACATGGCATCGTCAAATCCTATCTTATGTCATGTCTGAGCACTGATAAGACAGAATGGTTTTTCAGCTGCTGCATGGCATGTGGCTGTGGCAATCATTCAGTCTTCAGAGGGCTGTATTACATTTCGCGGCCTGTACACATTTGATAGAGCCATCTGCTGTGCAGTGCGGCACAACTACAGGGCTCGCAATTGCATTCTATGATTTCCGGTTGATATTTTAAGACAGATAGAAGGCAGAAATAAGACAATTTCTTTTAAAGTAGCATTGATATTGCCTACCAGAATGTCACTTTTACTCATGGTAAAATTCCCAGGCTTTCAATGTTGTTTGCTTGTTGTTCACACAGTATTTCATCTTTGTGCTTTGGGAGTACTCTCTCGCTTTAACTTACACATTGAATTTTTATGTTTTTGTTTAATTCATCTATTAACGACCGAATCCAAATATGCACCAGTGTTGGCAACTCTGCTTGACTCACACATTTTGCTGTTAGGGCTAAAAATGAACGTAAATGTTAGACTTTAAACAAGAGGTATCCAACCGCAATCCTGCTGTCAGTGGATTTTAATGAAGCACTGCATCGAAGAAGAACCGTTTACTGATGAGTTAATGGTCAGCAGAATTTTCCCGTGGACAGCTGAGTATTTTTGCCTGTAGGAATTTAATTCAGTCATGTAAGATGAGCAAAATGGTCATCACCCATCTGGTTCTCCCTGCAGGTGACGGAGGAGACGAGTGACATCCTTCTAACCTTGGGGTACATGTGCTCTTGTAGAGGCATCATCAATGTCAAGGGCAAAGGAGAGCTTAGGACCTTCTTTGTGCACACGGAGATGACTCGGTCCCTGTCACAGGGGAACGTAATGCCCTGAGCCTGATTTACACAGGCACGAAGACTTTTGTTTCAGATTGAAGAGGTTTGAATTTCTCAGTGCTGCTTTTATAAAGTGTGGGGCATAAAGGGACCTGATCTACAAGGAGGTAAAAATCGGATTTACTGTTGCGTTACAAATTACCTATGCCACAGCTGTAGTATACATTTTGTCACTTATGTAACTGTAAGTGTAGCATGTACAGGAGATAGGCAGTAACACCTAAAAATATACTGTAATGTGAATGTGGGAGCTGGAAAAAACACAGTTGCACAAGTCAGTCTGATGTAATAATGTACAAGTTCAATGAGAGTGAAAATCTCCAATGGGCTGAATTAATATTCTGCCTCAGTTCTGGGAGGCTTGTGGTAGTTGCTTTATCATAGAAACCCCTTATCAGCAAGGTGCATCAAAACCTATCTCACCCTACAGGATACAGTTTGGATGCCAAATAACTTTTGACTCTGCATGCCCCTAACATGGCAGCATTTCCAGAGTTAGGAAGACAGTTTCTTGTCTTTGTACTTTTATCTGCTTTAATTGCACCATTTACCAACTCTTGGCACCAAACATTTTCATTGTTCTACCATTTTTTTTGTGTACAGACGCCAACAACTACGTCACAGTTTTGGCTGGATTTGTTGAGCTGCTGTTCTCACTTGAAGGGGATTTATGTGCGTTCTCCGTTTGGGAACTCGTTGTTTGTGTTATTTCAGCACCATATGAATGCAGAAGAATAACTGCATGGCAACAATTTTCAGCAGAGTCTTATAAAGACTTTGGCGCCCCAAAGATAACAGAGGGTATGAATTAACCACTAACTTTTACCTGCTTCCCGAACTCAAGCAAAGTCCTAGGGTAACACAAAAGGCCAGAAATGAAAAATCTGATATTAAAATGAAAGCAAAGGTCAAACCAATACAAGTGAAAATGTCACAGCCACTGTTGCAAAGGTAAAATGTGTCTTGTTAAGAAGAAGAAAAAAACCAGCCAGAAAACAAGGTGTACCATGTGTACATAAGTCCATCGACCTTGTTAGAAGCACCAAGTCTTAGATGTATTTTACAAACAGTCTAGGACTATAATAGGAAAAACAAATGAAAAGTAGAATCTATGAATATATTCTGATATTCATGCAGGGTGGTGTTTTCCAAAACAGTCTTTCCAGTTTCTCCTTGGCTGCATTGACTGACGTGATTAGGACATTGATCAGATTTGTCAGTGCTTGCTGAAAATGGAAAATCTGGGCCAGTTGCATAAATGACTTGAGATGTGTACAAACACATTGCTTTCATGCAATTTATAACAGGATGTGCCGTAACAATGGACACCCTTTGCACACTTAAAAACAGGTGTACATAGTTGGGGGTGTTTTTTTTTTTTTAAGAGCCACAAGCAGAATAAATAAGAGATTAAAATGAAAACATGAATGATAAACCTTTCTGTAAAATCATGCGTCTTTTTCTTCCAAGTTTTCTTGGATGATCTAATTAGGAAAAAAAATCCTCAACGGTGACTTCGTAATGTTATTTTCAGCAGTTAAATATGTAGTCTGATTCAGTGTGAGTTAAAATGACCAAAAAACCGTGACAAACACACATTATGAAGGTTACAATTTTGCCATCATTCATCCAGATTAACTGTAAGGTCTGTATGTTACAGTAGAAAGCACCTTGTTGTTGTGATTTGGCACTGTAAGCCTAAACTGAATTCATGTGACGGATTGTCATTTAAATACAGTTTACCCAGCCTTTAAGTTAAAATAAACAGCATACATTAAAGCTTCTCTAAGGTCCTGCACTAAAGTAAATTCCTTCAATGTTAAAGTGTTAAACTGTTATTTCATCTTTGGATCCAGTTTGCATCTGCACATGAGCTCATCTCTCTTTTTTGTAAATAAAAGCTGATTTGAATGTGGGAAGGCGGGACAAAGGTTAAAATGGCATCCAGACACACATAACATGACACATTTGGTGACTCTACAAACTGTGCTATAAAATGTTTTATCTTAGCATGCACTTTATATTGCGACCCTGACAGAAAGACTGCAGACTTTTGTTTGTGGGTACACAGTTTTATATGCACCTGGCCCCGGTGAGCCACAAAGATTTACAAAACAGGTTCAATTAAAAAACTACAAACATTTAAGACTTTCTTGGGAAATCCATGCCTGACCTGTGTACAGGGTAGCTTTAGATCACATATGATATGGTGGTTTTGTAAGAAAAGAAAATACTACCAAAAAAGTGTTTTGATGTTTTGATGATGCAAGTTGTTTTTTGTAAAAACTTAATTAAAATTTCTATGTATTTCAGTGCTACAGTGCCTTTATTTACCCTCAGGATTCTTCGAATATGACAAGCTCAGTTCATTAACATGTCAGGATTTGTAATGAAAAGCCGTACAGTACGTGCTGAACTGATATTATTCGTCAAATGAAACTGGACTGTGTGAGTAATCAAATGAGCTGACGATGTCACTATAATACATACATCATAACTAGAATAAAGGTCTTTGGTTTACCTTTAGAATACTGTACAGACTTGACACTGGGTGAGCATGCAGATGGCTACGATATGTCTGGACTTTAGGGTGTAAATTATTTCAAAAACAGATCATTTTGGTCCAACTAGTCTGAATGAAAAGAGGAAACCCAAAGAGACAGGGGGCTTCATACCAGAGTATTCGAACATTTACACAGGACCTTTAGCAGCCACACTACAGACGTCTATGCTTCTGTTGACCTCAAGCAAAAACAAAAAACACTGACATGATGTTTTTGAACGTGCTAATTCTGGGTCTGACCTTGGCCTGACTGCACAGAAACACCCAGTATCTATCCACAATTCCTGACACTGACTGTAAAAATTTGTTAGTCACTTTGTTTGTTCCTTTACTATGGAGCTGCATATTTCCCTAATACAGAAATGATGCTAAAAATAGATTTAACCTTGATGAGAGCTTTTTAATCCTGCACACTTAACCATCCCTATAACTGAGGGAAAATGAATAATGGCTGTATGTGTCAGTGTTCAATATGAAACAGTCATTTGACGTCACAAAGGAGCGCCACTCCACGCAGGATCCAGTATTCTGGAGGAAGGGAGGTTTTCAGGTCTACAGCTGCGATGTAGTTTACATCTGTCCTGGTGGGCTTCTTGTAGATTGGACAGGAATAGAGGCGGGAGTCTTTTACACCTGCAACACAGAAAAGAAACACGGCATTTGCTGCAGAAAGTGGAAAGAGAAAAATCAAAAATGGCATTTTTCATGAAAACTAATGAGAGAGAGCAGCAGCTGCCAAACTGTGCCTTAATTGTGTTTCTAACTAGAATCATTTCAATTCAATGAAATATTTACATCAGTGCAGAGATGCCACTGGGACACCCAGCTGTGCTCAAAAGAAACATCTGTTTTTATGTAGTTAGGAATCAGCTCGAATTAGGAGAGCACGCTTATTACCCAGTACTCCCTCAGCACCATTTTATAGTTCTTTAGCCAGTCTGCTGCTTGTTTTGCTGTTAGTCTGCCAGTAGAATAGCAACAGCAGTGCTCCTTGCTCATGCATCAGCAGGGAAAAAACTAAAAATAATTTTCTCAGAGCAAACAAACAGGCTTGTTGTGTCTTTACAAATGACACTGTATGTGGACAAGGATGGAACTAATCCCTTTGCATGAGTGAAAATTAAGTAGAGCAGCTTTCCAACCTCTTGTACCTCATGCCTACACACGTGCACGGCACACACACCAAGCACTTGTCTACTGAAGCATCCCTTTAGCAGTCTCCTTTGCACTGACACACTCAAACATAGCAGGCTGCCTTCGTATGGGAAATGCTGGGAGGGGACGTGGTGTAAACAAACTGCATTATGCATATCATTAGTTCATTTCCCAGGAAGCCTTGCTCGCAGGCATCCATGGGGGTCTGTGTCTGTCTGAATATACGTTGGCCTTATCCAGAACAAACACTGTGCCACATACTGCTGGTAATCTATTCCCAGACAAAATAAATAACACTTATTCTGCTTGACATTTAAATGTTACATCCAAGGAGTGACTGTGTGGGATGCAAACATTGAGAAGACAGGTAGGATATAAAGCTGCTCCACCAAAAGATTTGTTTTTTTTATTTCCCCTCCACACTGTTCCTAAATAATATAACTCACCATTATTCTCAGCATACATCCTGATCACTGGCATCATCTCAAAGAGAACTTTGGGTTTGGAGTCAATAAGTTTGCAGTTGCGGCGGTCCCAGCCAGCTCCCTCCAGGTAAAGACCATAGACGTACACTCCCTCTGTGGGCGGCTGGTTGATGTCATCCTTCATCCACTTCGTCACCTCGTTGCACAGCACCATGCGGTCCAGGGCCCAACCCTTGTTCGCCCGAGTGATCTCCTGCGAGTACATGTGAATGGCACATAAATGACAGAAGTGACATTTTGAAATGGTTTTCCCACATGAAAATCAATTTTGATAAAAGGTCTGTAACAATAGGAACACCAAAATACACTACTGGGAGATAAGTGAACTCCATCACAAGAGTTGTTTTGTGAGATGATGTTGCAAAAGGAAAAAAAAATAACTCCAGTATGACAAATTAAGTGAAATGTGAGTATTTTATGGCCTCAGTCATTTTATTCTCATTTTCAAGTTTAAAAGAAGAAATCCTTAGTGGGCAAACTTGGGAGAGACAGAGACTGATAACAAATGACAAAGGCAGGCACATACCCATCTCAGATAAAACAAGCTAGCAACTTCAGGCACATTACACAGAATCAGAGAACAATGTAGGTAGTTTGTGATGCCTGTGGGATAATAAAAGTACATCTCCTGAGACGCTCAGTGGTAGGACTGAGGGCTATATTTGGTATCTATCAGTAGTCAAACAAATCTCTTCTTAGTAAAATACAGAAATCTACATCCTCAATATTTCCTTTATCCGGGTGAAAGATCCAGGCTCTTCAAAATATTCACTTGGAAGTAGAATCCTTTACTCAGTGCATACTGCAACTCTCAGGTCTACACTTCAGTTCATTTTCACTGTTACTGTATGTAATACGACTCCTGTTTACCACCAAATTCAGTTAAAAACACACTGATTTAAGCCACCAATCAAAGTATATGTTCAGCAAACTATTAGATTCAAACCCCCAAGATAAAAGTTCAGTAGCATGGAGGAATTGTTTACCTTACAATGGTAAATGGCCTGTATTTATATAGTGCTTTTACTAGTCCCTAAGGACCCCAAAGCGCTTTACATATCCAGTCATCCACCCATTCACACACACATTCACACACTGGTGATGGCAAGCTACATTGTAGCCACAGCCACCCTGGGGCGCACTGACAGAGGCGAGGATGCCGGACACTGGCGCCACCAGGCCCTCTGACCACCACCAGTAGGCAACAGGTGAAGTGTCTTGCCCAAGGACACAACGACCGAGACTGTCCAAGCCGGGGCTCGAACCGGCAACCTTCCGATTACAAGGCGAACACCCAACTCTTGAGCCACGATCGCCCCAATCGTGGCTTGTATCATTACAAGAGCAATGATACAAGCTTGAGCCTGCACTCAATTATCTTCATATACATGAGCTCTTTAAATATTTGTTGTATTGCTCCTGTCCTGTTTCCCCTCCCTGAGCCTGGTTCTGCTGGAGGTGTCTTCTTGTTAAAAGGGAGTTTTGTCTCCCCACTGTCACCAATTGTTTTCTCAAAGATGGGTTGTCTGATTTTGGGTTTTTTTTGTTTCTATATTATTGTAGGGTTTTTACCTTACAATGTGAAGCACCTTGAGGTGACTGTTGTTGTGATTTGGAGCTATATAAATACAATTGAATTGAATTAAACATTACAGCCTTTCAAAACTGATAAATCACTGGATTTGCTAAATAAATTATTTAACATTCAAAATCTCTTCAAGTTGTAGATCCCATCTGCTCTCACTTTTCCAGAAAACTTTAAACATACATTTGCTGTCATGTACTTGTGATGCAAAATTGGAACCACAGATGGCAGGAGTAAAGTACAGGTATAATACAGATGTTGTTCCCCCATAAAACTATTCCCACTTTCTGCCAATCTACCAGTATTGGCCAGATCAGAGCACACAAATGGCACCAATAGATAGAAATGGTCAGAGAGGAAGACTAGGAACGGCAATTTCATACAAAAATTGCCATTTACCATGCTTGTGCCTGCAGAATTCACAACAGGGATAGGATTTAAAGACAAATTCAGCATATTGTCTGAATGCAAAATGAATTTCATGCATTGTAAAAAAATAACTACTGCTACTTGCAGGTCCCTGTGTATGTGTTTGTGTCTGTGCATGTTTGCATGCGTGTGTAAATGTGGCTGTGTGCCTGCTTCTCCCTCTGCGTGCCATCTGGTCTTTTCCCTTGCTGTGGGTAAATGGTAGGTAGCCTGATGTCGTGCGTACCTGTCTCATGGCTGTCAGGAAGCCCTGCGGGTTGAAGAAACCTGTCATCCAGAAGCAGTTGGGTCTCCCTTCAAAGATCCAGGCCTGGAACTGACGGTTCCGCTCAAGCAGCTCCGTGAACCAGAACCCCAGGGTGCTGGAGGCCCACGATGACTGAAAACAACAAGGAGACAGACAAACAATAACATGAGCAAAAGAGTACAATAAAACGCTGAAACATGTCATCCAGGTGGCTCTGAGAAGAAAAGGGGAGATAAGACATGGATTATGAAACATGGTGTGGGCAAGTGAAAAAAAGAGACTTGACACAATGGAAAAAAAAAATACAACAGAACACAATAGACTGGAGGCAAATGATTCAGAAAAAGGATAAAACTGCAGGTAAAAGAAGTCGGCATTGCAGCCAGGAATCCCATTCCAGTCTGAATTATTCTAACAATGCTGTGTTTGTGAATGCAGCCTGACTGTCAGCTAAATAATTCTAAAAAAAACAAAAAGCCCTAAAAAAAGTCCTAGCTTTTTATTGTTTGCTTTAGTATGGCATCAGAACAAAGTTTCTTATTTCCATTTCCTTTATCACTGAGATGGATTTGTGTGCTGTGTATACAATTATAACAATGAGTACATTAATAAAAAAGGAGCACGAACACGGCCCAAACGACAAACAAGTTAGAGTTTGGTCTGATAATGACAATGTCCCTTGTAAGAGCATCAATTATCCCGTGTGCTACAACTAAACCTCAAGGACACTAAATAACAAAGCTGATAGCACTAAAATCTGATCTGAGGTATTAATTTGTGCCTCTGGGCCATCTAGTACTCTGTATTGAATAGTTGTTAGAAGCTTTCACCGGAGATAAAATGATCACCTTTCATAGGACTGTTCAATATAACGATATATATCGGATGAAGATATAAAAACGTCTATAATTTCATTTTACGCTATCGTTTGTTTCGTAGTGTCGCAAAATAAACTGTTTACAGCAATATTTTTTCATCGTTTTGATGGTCACTGTAGTGGCTATATTCATTTCTTAAATTTCTCTCTTTCTCTTATATTTAATATAACCACACTACGGATGGACAAGCACCTGTTTGTATGCGTTGTCGTTAGCAACAACGACGGTAAAACCATCGCGTGTCCGCTTGTTTATTTTCCACATATAAAAATTTTTTTTTTTCCACAATAAAGCTCAAGATCCTATTGAGACTTTCCAAAATAAACTGAATCATGTGAAAGAGTATGCAGTGTTTATGGATGAGAAGCAAAAAAGAGCCGTCAGGTGCTAAAAAATAAACCTTAGACTCAAACGTTAGAACAGGCTTTTCCCCGCAGCACGCCGTGTAATAAATACTCACAAAAAAAAAAAAAAAACGGCGGCCGTTACAACTTATGTCTAAAAATCTATAGTTTCATGCATCGGTTAAAACACTGGACTGCAGGTACACGGTGCCCAGCTGGAAACACTTCAGGCAAGTTGAGCTGCCCGAGATTCACAGAATTTACAGAAAATGCTACATTCTTTTTACACATACAAATCCTGATTTACAAGTACACAACTCATTTACAAGTACAAAATATTTATGACCACAATTTGAGCCCATACATAAACTCACAGTGATTCTCTCAACTGACCTTCTTCCAGCGTGCAGGAATTCGTGCATCGTACATGCAGTCCAAGGCATCCCGCAGGTTCTCACTCATGATGATGGTTCCATCAATAGCCAGCTTCAGGTCTGTCAAGGTGTTTCGGACAAGAACTATGATCCTCTGCATCCGATCGACCTCCTGACGCAGAAAGATGTTCATAGGCTGGAAAGGACCCATCTTCTGAAGATGCTCTCTCACCTGGTTTTATTAAGGCAGAAAAGATTATATCAACAGAGATGTGTAAAAACACACCATCTCATTATGTGGAAATGTACCTGGGATCACTAAAGTTTAATATCTACTCTGGAAAAACTGTATTTAAAGTGGAGCTTTATGCTGCATTTTTCATGTTCGTAGCTACTACTGTTGTTAGTATTGGTGAATTCATGCTTGCTTCACTGAAAATGAAACAAATATAGGAATGAAGATATTCTGTATTTCTGACGGGCCTTTCTGCTCCACATGCAGGCTGTATTCATTTTAAAACATCTTTTAAAAAAAAACATTTTTTCCTATTTTGGAGGCCTTTATGCGCTGTGTGAAGAGACAGTCACGCAAGCAGCAGTGAAAGCGGCATTCGCGGGGTGAGTTGTGAGGTGACAGTTTTCCATGATGAGCTTTGCACCTCGCCTCAGAAAAGTCACACTCTCACCTCATTTTTTTCTTAGCGAAAAAAAAAAAAAAAAAAAAAGCGGCGACACAGCCACCAAAATAAAACAAGATCCAGCTGCATTCACACACACTCCTTTCTATTTCTGGTCTTCTTTACACTCTACTGTCAAAAACACTACACCCCACCTCTCCGCCTGCACCAGCCACAAGGAGCACACAGCACACAAGGTGAGTGGAGTGACATTGCACATGTTGCTTTGCACACTTCGCTCTGCAAAGCAAATACACATAGGCTTACTTCAAAAGGTACGTAGTCAGGAGGCAGTTTTTCCAGCATGTCGTCAGCCAGCCTGGACACTACAGATTCTCTGGTTTCTCCTCCGCCTGATGAGCTGTCTTTTGGCTGAATGCTGAGGATGGTATCCAGTACGTCCTTAGCCAGTTTACTCTGGAAGGTTATGTCTGCGTTTGGGTGCAGCCCAAACACCTCAGGAGTGTCGTAGGCTGGGAGACCCTGAGAAAGAGGAACAGTGATGGTTAGCGAGGTTGGTTGCATCACTGAGACAAATCTATTCAGACAGGGAATGTCCATGGTGCATTCTCTTTACTTTCACAGTAAGCACTGTGAAAGCGTCCCATGGAGCATCTTTTCATTCCTGCAATAGCGGAAACCTATCCTATACAATATGGAACGGTTGAACTACTACCTGCTTTTTGGTTTAATTTTGTTTTTTTCCCTTGTTTTTAAACTGCTACTTCATTGGACTGCAGTTTGTGTCACTGCTAAGCTCGTTGTTGGCTAAGTTGGAGGAACAAAAAGCAAGCATCTCCACTGGAACACGTGGAGTTACCAGCTGCTTCTTTTCACCCGTTAAAATGACTGTGGGGGGTGTGACACAGAGGGGATTCATACTAGTTCTAGTAAAAGGCCATTGGCCAGCTACTATAAAGTGAGTGCAGTGAAAAGATCACCCACAAGCTTCCCACAAACACAGCTAAATGTATTCACTGGGCACATTAAAGAGTCACTACTCTGTGGTGATGATTAGCTCTGCTTTCGGTGTTGCTGCATGTGAACATGGACAATGACGACAAGAAACTTGACAAGTTTAAAATCCTTTCTTTGTCTTTTTGTCAACAAATGTGTATGTGCTGAAATTTTTCTATCAGTCCTTCACAAAGAGAGGACAGACTGTCTATTCTCTCCAACTCGTAGCTGACTGCTGGCTCTTCTTCCCCACGCACTGCTGCGTTTGTACTGGTGCATCATCAGGAGTGGAAAGGCTCTGTCCCATCATTTTTCCCTCAAAGACACCACAGATGATTTTACCAGCGAATGCCATCACAGATAAAATGGATGAAACAATGTATTTGATAAGGAAATAACCATTTGGAAAAGTAAATGAATTAAAAGTGCTGATTAATAAATACATTTACATGTCTTGGTGACTGCAGCTGGAAACTGGGCAAAAGATATGTGTGTTTGTGTGTGTGTGGAATGCTAGCTACCAGCATTCATAATATAATAGTTACAATAGCAACAGTAACCAGGGGGGTGGGGCTTAAATGACAGAACAAAGACAGGCTACCATGATGTCACATGCCAGGCCACCATGATGTCACATGCCAGGCCATAAAAATCTATAAATAGGGGTGCCTCGACACACAGTTGTAGAATTCCCTTGCAGGTGAATTTAAGCTAGCGATTGAATTGTGTTTTCAGATGAAAGCGCTTATAACCTTCTCCCAAAGTAGAGTGAGTACTCTTCCTCCACCCAAACCTAAAATGTATATTTCTAAATACAGGGAAGCAATTGTATTAGAAAATAAATATAAAAATGAACACAGGACCATGGTGCCAAGAACAGTTAAGGCCCCATCTCATCGCGAAATGTGCCCACAGAGGCCAGAAGGCGAAAAACCTGAACACACATTCAGGAAAAAAACAGAACACACAGGCATGAAGAAAGTCATGGCTCAACCTGCTTGTGTGGATACACGCAAAAGGGACAAGCAGCTCCTTGAGAAATCTGGACTTGTCCCCTTTTATTTACAGAAAAACGATTACGGAATCGTTCCAGGCTACCTGCGTAGAAGAAAGGCAGAGAAAGAAAAGGCTAAGCAGGACAATGATGCCTGGTTAACAAAACAACAGGAAACAGTTAAACCACTGGCCGAACAGGAGAAACAAAACATTCTCCAGGGCCTAAAGAGGAGGTTTAATGAGCTAAACTTTGAATATCAATCCCTCCCTTTTACTATCTCCCCTTCACAGCACAAAAAATACAATTACAAAATGTTTCTCGAAGAGCAATGAGTCAAGTTGAAAAGACATTGCCCTTTTTGAGGAACATAAATACATTTACGTAGGCAGGAAGATGCATCTGACGAACAACAGTTACAGCGGACTCCACTGCCACCCATTAGACCGAAAAAGACAAAGTTGACACCCGCTCCTCAAGTCACACAACCAACGAAAAAGGAAACTTTCTCGACCGACAACCTACCACCTTTTCGTAGGATGTGTGTTCCACCTATATCCAGAAGTGGAAAGCAACCTATTCCCATGACTGAGAACCTTCACAGACAACCTATTCCCACCCAACTAGTTATAATTCCACGACCTAGTCCTGTCCCTCTGCCACCTATTTGTAAAAAAGCTGAATCTACACCCCGACCACCTGTAAGACCTCCAATGAAACGAGGTGTAACACCCATCCTTCCACCCATTTCCACCAAAAAGCTGTAGTGCTGTACCGTTAGAGTAGTTTTTTAACTACCTAACCCCCAACCGGTCTTGACAGAAGCCGCACCATCTGAGCCTGGTTCTGTCGAAGGTTTCTTCTTTTTAAGACAAAGGAGTTTTTCCTTCCCACCGTCGCCCAGTGCTTGCTCAGATGGGATCATTTGATTGTTGGGTTTTCTTAAACATAAATTGGCCTATTGAAAAAATGTAGTGTTTCTTACTACATTTTATTTTCAATAGACCAATTTATGTTCAAAAAAAAAAAAAAATTACAGCAGAAAAGAAAGCATGGGAGACATCTGATGCATTTCATTGCTTTTTAAAAAATAATTTATAATTTATCTGGAACAAATAAAAGAAAGTAAAAATAATCTTTTGTGGATTCTTTTTCTTCAATAAGTAGTAGAATAGGCAGTTCTTTATACATAAAGCGTAGTGTTTTGTTAAAAAATAAAGTGGCACAGCGGCACTGTGGTAAAGGCCTGTGTTTTTACCATCAGCGTGACAGCACCGTGCCGCCTTTGCAGTTTTAAGGCCCAGGGAAACAAGCCTGCCAGCGCTCTGTAGCGGCTGTGACCGCTGCGATAAGGAAAGGCTGCTCTTCATAGAGGACTCAAGCTCGGGGAAACGTTTTCTGGTCGACTCTGGCTCCCAGAAGAGCCTCTGGAACTCTTGTGTCGTCTTTACAATGGTATATTATTTAATCTCAAAAAAAATTTTAAAAATTAAAAAAAATTGGAGATTTCCCGCATCACATAACATGTGCAGGTACACTGGTACAGCACATGTGAGCGAAATTCTTATGTGTGTGCAACAGAGGTGTGCAAAATACAATAACATAAGAACAAGCAAAATATACGAATGGGTAAATCTGAGAATTATAAGAATAAATATATGTACAAATATAAGAGTGTATGTTAGGGCTGTTCGATATAACGATATATATCAAATGACGATATAACAATGTCTATCGTTTCCTATTACGCTATCGTTTGTTTCGTGATGTCGTAAAATAAACTGTTTACAGCAGTATTTTTCATCGTTTTGACGGTCACCTTAGTGGCTATATTAATTTCTTAAAGTTCTCTCTTTCTCTTATATTTAATATAACCACACTATGGGCGGGCAAGTGCCTGTTTTTACGTGTTTTCGTTAGCAACAATGACGGTAAAACCATCGCGTGGTTCCGCTGTACGCTTGTTTGTTTTCCACGTAAACCTTTCACAATAAAGCTCAAGATCCTGTTGAGACTTTTCAAAACAAACTGAATCACATGAGAGAGTATGCAGAGTTTACAGATGAGAAGCAAACAAAGAGCCGTCAGACTCAAACTATATGTATACACCTGCCCGCCTTCGTAAACAACTAAATGCTATGTTGCCCTATCATTTTTTGATTGGTCCACATGGTATATTTTTTCACCAATAGGAAAGGCTGGGGAGTTGGGAGGGGGACTGAGTGCTTTCTAGTGTTTTTCCTTATAAAAACCGTTTCTTCCCGCAGTAAATATAAACAACGATAGTATTCAGGAAGAAAACCTGCATATATTATACTGAACATAAAGTTGTTTGCAAAACTTGTGCATAATTTTACAAATGTACAACTTCTATTCGCATTTCAAGTTATGAAAACAATTCCTTAAACATGTTGTGGCTTTTACAGTAAAAATGACAAGTATTTTCTACTCGGATTTTGAATTTTTTTGTCTGAATTAGATCTATTGTGCAAATATAGTATAAATGAAAAATTAACTCAAATTTCAGATATTGAGGTTGTGCCAAAAAAAAAAAAGAAGAAGATTTTTTAAAGGTGAAATATAGAGGTAAAATCTAAAAGTAGTCAAAAACGGCCAATTATACTCTGGACCCCAGAGGTTACTAAATACATTTACATGTCTTGGTGACTGCAGCTGGAACCTTGGCAAAAGTGTATGTGTGTGTGGAATGCTAGCTACCAGCATTCATAATATAATAGTTACAATAGCAACAGTAACCAGGGGGTGGGGCTTAAATGACAGAACAAAGACAGGCTACCATGATGTCACATGCCAGGCCACCATGATGTCACATGCCAGGCCATAAAAAATCTATAAATAGGGTGCCTCGACACACAGTTGTAGAATCCCTTGCAGGTGAATTTAAGCTAGCGATTGAATTGTGTTTCAGATGAAAGCGCTTATAACCTTCTCCCAAAGTAGAGTACTCTTCCTCCACCCAAACCTAAAATGTATATTCTAAATACAGGGAAGCAATTGTATTAGAAAATAAATATAAAAATGAACACAGGACCATGGTGCCAAGAACAGTTAAGGCCCCATCTCATCGCGAAATGTGCCCACAGAGGCCAGAAGGCGAAAAACCTGAACACACATTCAGGAAAAAACCAGAACACACAGGCATGAAGAAAGTCATGGCTCAACCTGCTTGTGTGATACACGCAAAGGGACAAGCAGCTCCTTGAGAAATCTGGACTTGTCCCCTTTATTTACAGAAAAACGATTACAGAATCGTTCCAGGCTACCTGCGTAGAAGAAAGGCAGAGAAAGAAAAGGCTAAGCAGGACAATGATGCCTGGTTAACAAAACAACAGGAAACAGTTAAACCACTGGCCGAACAGGAGAAACAAAACATTCTCCAGGGCCTAAAGAGGAGGTTAATGAGCTAAACTTTGAATATCAATCCCTCCCTTTTACTATCTCCCCTTCACAGCACAAAAAATACAATTACAAAATGTTTCTCGAAGAGGCAATGAGTCAAGTTGAAAAAGACATTGCCCTTTTTGAGGAACATAAATACATTTACGTAGGCAGGGAAGATGCATCTGACGAACAACAGTTACAGCGGACTCCACTGCCACCCATTAGACCGAAAAAGACAAAGTTGACACCCGCTCCTCAAGTCACACAACCAACGAAAAAGGAAACTTTCTCGACCGACAACCTACCACCTTTTCGTAGGATGTGTGTTCCACCTATATCCAGAAGTGGAAAGCAACCTATTCCCATGACTGAGAACCTTCACAGACAACCTATTCCCACCCAACTAGTTATAATTCCACGACCTAGTCCTGTCCCTCTGCCACCTATTTGTAAAAAAGCTGAATCTACACCCCGACCACCTGTAAGACCTCCAATGAAACGAGGTGTAACACCCATCCTTCCACCCATTTCCACCAAAAAGCTGTAGTGCTGTACCGTTAGAGTAGTTTTTTAACTACCTAACCCCAACCGGTCTTGACAGAAGCCGCACCATCTGAGCCTGGTTCTGTCGAAGGTTTCTTCTTTTTAAGACAAAGGAGTTTTTCCTTCCCACCGTCGCCCAGTGCTTGCTCAGATGAGATCATTTGATTGTTGGGGTTTCTTAAACATAAATTGGCCTATTGAAAAAATGTAGTGGTTCTTACTACATTTTATTTCAATAGACCAATTTATGTTCAAAAAAAAAAATTACAGCAGAAAAGAAAGCATGGGAGACATCTGATGCATTTCATTGCTTTTAAAAATAATTTATAATTTATCTGGAACAAATAAAAGAAAGTAAAAATAATCTTTTGTGGATTCTTTTTCTTCAATAAGTAGTAGAATAGGCAGTTCTTTATACATAAAGCGTAGTGTTTTGTTAAAAAATAAAGTGGCACAGCGGCACTGTGTTAAAGGCCTGTGTTTTACCATCAGCGTGACAGCACCGTGCCGCCTTTGCAGTTTTAAGGCCCAGGGAAACAAGCCTGCCAGCGCTCTGTAGCGGCTGTGAC